CCTGCTCCTCTCGTCGAAGGAAGGCGAGAGAGCGACTGCCTCCTCCGCCGGAACGAATCGACGGGTGGACGAAGGAACGGACGAGGCTCGCAGTCGAAGCGGAGACGTACGAAGGAAACTAATAGTACGCGCTTAGACGACTGGCCTCTCGCGGGGGCGGGTCGCTGTCGTTCCCTCTCGCTCCCTCCCGCGACCCTTCCCCCGCCCGCCCGCCCACCGTCTCGCGCGCAATACAACACGGCCGTATACATGCATCTCTCTCTATCTATCTCTCTCTCTGTCCCTCCCTTCCTCCCGCGCGCGCGAGAGCACGTACACAAGCGTAGAAAGAGAGATAGAGAGATAGAGAGAAAGAGAGAGAGAGATGGATAGAGACTGGAGCAGAGACCCACCTTCCTGCGTGTTCTCGAGCATCTCCTGGAGCCGAGCGATGTCCGGATAGATGATGCCGCAGGACTTGCCGAAGCAGCCGAGGAACGAGCAGATCACCGCGAAATTTGGGTCACTCGCGCAAGAGGCTTCGTTATCGGACGCCATTTTTCCGACCGTTTCTCGCCGTTGGGCCCCGTCGCCGCTGCCACCGCCGCCGCCGCCACCACCGCCGCCACCGCCGCCGCCGCCGCCGCCACCGCCGCCGCCACTACCACCGTCGCCGCCGTCGTCGACGCCGTCGTTGCGATCGTCGTCGTCGTCGCCACCGCCGTCGGAGCAGGCGACGCACACTGTTACGTTAAACGGCCCGACGGCGCGCCGCGTATCCCATTTCCCGGAGCACACGGGCGGCCGCTGATCACCAGTGCCAGCGACGTCAACACTAAACCAACTAACGCATCACCAGCGACAGCAGCAACAGCAACAGCAGCGCAACGTAACGTGACAAACGGCGCACGCACGCACGCACGCAACACACACACACAAGCCCGCGCGCGCACGCGTTCAATCGGGCACCGCCGGCACCGTTAGCAGGTAGTCGGTCGCCGGGCGTCTCGACGCCGACGCTTCCCGCTTCCTCGCCACTCGCGTCCTCCTCTACCTCGCCGTTGTGCGCGCCCTCGCTCGAGCTCTTCTTCGCGCGCGCGCCTCCTCTCTACCTGCCGCCGCTAGCGCGCAGACGGGAGCGAGAGAGAGTGAAACGCTCGGGCAGAGAGAGAGAGAGAGATAGGGACGGAGGTGTCCTTTCCCCCGCCCTCCCGCGAGAAAGACGAGCGAAAAGAAGCGGCGCCGCCGCCGCTTCTGCCTTTCTCTCTCCGTCTCCTTTTCGCCCGCGCACCTCGTATCGTCCGGTCCTCCTCTATCGTCCCCTCCCGCCCCTCTTTTCGCACCTCTTGTTTATTTTTTTTATATATAAATCACTGGCACAGACGCATCCGCGCGCTGCAATTCTACGCGCGCGTTGCCTCCATCTCCCTTACTCTCTTTCGCAGCACGCACGACGCACACACGGCACGCACGCACACGCAGCACGCCTCGACGTCTCGCTTCGTCAATGCCGAGGGGGAGAGAGAGAGAGAGAGAGCACGCACGCACGCGCGCGCGCACGTACGCACCGCACGCACGCACGCACGTCGTCGGCGACACAACGACGACGACGTTAGTCAAGGATCGCGCACGTAATCCGCGATCCGAGGCGAATAGCGCGCGCGACGCGAGCGGCCGCGGGACGGTTTCGCCGTGAAGGGACGCGGGCCGAGACGCTCGCGTCCTGGACAAACGTACGCGTGACGCCGCGATCGCCGAGTCACCGGGTGCACACGAGCGGCGCAGAAACGACCACCGCGACGACGACGAAACGCAGCACTGGACATCGCCTTCGGGATTGGAAACACTCCGGCGGTTCTCAACCTAGACGGCGGACGCGTTGCCGCGCCAGGGCCGTGCCCTGCGGGGGAGCGAAACGACCGAGGGAATTGCCCGCGACACGGAGGCCTCGAACGCGCGGCCGGGCGGAAATGCCCGGGCGTTTCTTTCACGCATTCAAAAATCGTTATAACAAACCGAAGGACCCAAGGAGAAGAAAAAGTCAGGCTGATGTCAATTTCATGTCACATTGACCAAATTTATATCAAATTTTGGTCAATTTGATGCCATATTGACCAAAATTTGACATAAATTTCGTCAATATGACATCAAATTGACATCATCCTGACTGTTCCTTCTCCTTGGCGACTCTGTTGATAACAATCGTCGAAATGAAAAGGTTATTAGAGTCACGTGAGAAAGTGCGCGACAATAGTCTGATATATGAGATAGGTTTACGCCAAATTCAGTCACAAATCTTTTCTTTTTGCAACGATCACGCGATCTAACAATGAATTTTCCACTAAACACATTTCACCCCGAGAACAATAAATTAGTAGAACCAACAGAAGATGCCAAGTAGAACATATTAGACATCAAGATGACATCATTAGTCATCTTGACAACAAAATGTTATAAAAATGCTTTTGTTTTACAAAGCAAAGTTGACTAAATATTACACATAAAAAATAAATTGAAGTAATAGAAGATAAACATAATATGTGACTCATCATGTAATCTATAATAATATATTGTTATTACAGATTACATGATGTTATACTGCTTTTACAGCCTGAAAATAATATGTAATTTCAGTAATTTGTTCCATGCTATTTTAATATTTTATGTTTTATGTTACATTTTTAAACATATGTTTAGCCTTAATAGATGTCGTAAATTGTTTTATCAAAACAATAAGGCCCGGTTTCGCCAACGTTGTTTAGCTTTAAGCTTGGCTTAATTCGTTCTTTGCTTCTTTCTAAAGTAACAGTTAGAAAGAGACAAAGAACGAATTAAACTAAGTTTAAAGTTAAGCGACGTTGGTGAAACCGGGTCTAAGTCGTCTTATTGAAGTCCTGCCCACCTCTGACCACGGCATTATCAAAAACATTATCAAAATGATGCAAAATCCGGAAAAACAAAACGCAAAAATGCCAAAAAATAACGCAACATCTGAAAAAACGAAACGCAAAAAATAATATGAAAATGTCACACTTTTAATTACAGTGGTATGTTATATAACTGTCTATAATCAAATAATAAATATGTAGAATAATTCTAAACACAGTGCGGTTGAAGAGAAAACTCGGTCGGTGTATAAATTGGTCGGAATAAAAAAAAACAAAATAGATAAAATTGAAAGGCGTGAACCTATGCCTAAGTAAAATCTGAAATTATAGAAAAAATGTCCAGGCATTCCTGCCTGTCTGTTTACACGTTGGATGACAAGAACTTGATGATTCTGATTGCGCGAGTTAAGTTGATCGTGTTACTTGATAAACCGTAAAAACTTGTTTATTTTACAACAAAATTGTTCAACCCAATTTTTTATTGTGGAATTACTTAATCGTACATTAAATATCTACAGGACAATTGTTTGTGCACGCACACGCGCGGCGTGGCTGTTATCAATTTTATCAAATGTAATCAATCGTCCTTGTTCAATATTTATGAGTTCAAAAAAAATTGCTCGTTACCTTCTTCTATATAAAAAAAAATGTTCAAGGGTGGGTTTTTTTTGTTTTAAAATAACGTATGGAAAGAGCCAATAGAATTTCAAATAAGATCAGCCATTTCCCACAAAAGAACATTATCTCTTTTTTACTGTTTTATGAATAAACTCTTTTAACGTTTCACGAATAGGATGAATCAAAGGATAATTCTAAAATAAAAAAGTCCAAGAAGACACTTTTGTAAGGCAAAACCAAAAAGTCAAAACAACGAATAAAAATAACGTATAATTCTCTCTCTC